ACTCCAAGTGACCCTATAAGACAGGGAAGAATGGTCCCCGTGGGTTTCTGAGACTGTAATGCTACAGGTGGAGAAAGCCTTGTCTTTCTCCCACGGAGCAGCTGGTGGTTTTGAACTGCCCTCCTTGTTGTTAGCAACCATGTTAGTTTACATGAAAACAAATGCACTCACGTGAAGCCAATTCAGGAATTGGGTAGGCTTGGCTGACAATTGGAGGGGCACGGGCATCCAGAAGGCTCTCCCTCCTCCCTTTCTAATCTGGTGGCCCTCAAACTGGAGCCTGCATCAGAGTCACCCAGAAGATTTGCCTAAACTGAGCTTGGGGGACTCCATCCCAGCGTTGCGGATGCAGCTCATCAGCTGGATGAGGAAGATACAGCTGGTCCTCCGGCCACACTGCAAGAACCACTGCGCTAACCTCCTACCCATCCCTACCCCTCATTTGACACAGGACTCTCCCCAGCTGCGATCTGAGAGCCAGCTACCCAGATTCATTTTATGCTCAATAACTCAGGGTCCAGCCATTGAATAGGCCTAAGCCCTTGTTAGAGGGCAGCTGGGATTGTCAATGTACAGTATGTCAGGTTTTCTGTTTGTTTGTTTCCGTGGAAAATACCTCCCTGCTGGCCAGCCCCGCTCTGTGCTCTGTGCTGGCCTGTGCTATTTAAATTGTGGACTCATCCCTATTTGGGGGATCAGTGTGGGTGAGTGAATCCAGCCGGAGCCAGGGTCTGTTTGTGGACCCTCTCAGACTGGGCAAGCAACCCTGGTGGCACATTGGTTAGGTGCGAGGCTGCTGACCTCAAGGTTGGTGGTTGGAACCCAGTCAGCTGCTCTTTGGGAGAAAGAATTGGTGATCTGTTTCCATAACGATCTGCATCTAACAAACCCTGGGGGGCAGTCCCACTCTGTCGTGTGAGGTCTGAATCAACCTAACAACAACAACAACACAGCAACAACAACACCAGATTCTCATCTACACAAAACCCGGCTTCTCTGCACTGGGATCTGGGGCTAGTTGGCAGCCAGTTCTGGGGTGGGGTGGGGGTGGGGCTGGGGCTGGGCTGTGGGGCCGCAGCTGCCGCTGCAAATTGCCCAGGCCCTGCTGCCTGGCCTGGGCTCCAGCAGGAGCCCACATCAAACAAATGGGCTCTGGTGCATTAAGTGGGGCTGCTGGGGGTTGGAATGCCCGACTGCCCCAGCCCCCTGCCTCTCTCTGATGAGCAGAGTGCTGAGCAGAGGAGGCACCCTTGATGAGAGGGGCTATGGCAAGCAATCAGATGCCAGACCTCTGGGGGCAGCTGGGCAAGAGCGGGTACAGCCACCATTCTTCATACAGATGGGAACACAACCTGCTCCCTCCCCCTGGGTCGGTTAATCCAGCTCCAAGCTGGAGATTAGCATTTCCAATGGACTGGGAAGTGCAGCCTTCAGGAGCCAGGGTAAGGGATGACAGCCCCTCTGGGGTCCCTGGGGCTGGGAGGAGAGGCTTTGTCTACCTCAAGTGGAGGCTGGCTTTCCAAACAAATGCCTGCTTCCCTCCTCCACTTCTGCCCTGCTGAGTGAGCCCTGGCCCAAAGAGGGTGACCCCAAACCCACCGAGTGCCCAGCGACTTCTTCCAAAGCAAGAATTGCTCCTTTGTGCATACATTGGCTCTGGCCTTCACTTGGCACTTGGGCTGTTGCCAGGTGCTGGCTGTGGATAGAGATGAAAGATATGGTCTACACCCCCACCCTACCCCCACCCCCCGCCCCCAGGCATTCCCAATTTAGTGAAAGATCCCCAAACCAACCAATCTCACTGCCATTGAGTGGTCTCTGACTCCAGTGATCTCATAGGACGCCGTGAACTGCCCCTCTGGGTTTCTGAGACTGTAGTTCCTTATGGGAGTAGACAGCCTCGTCTTTCTTCCCCGAGCGGTTGGAAGTTTCAGACCGCCGACCTTGCTTAGCAGCCGACTGCACAACTATTATGCTGCCAGGGCTCCTTCGGTTAAGGTGACCAGATTTTAACATTGGTAAAGCGGGACACCATTGATAAAACTCATATCCTGGCGAAATAGCCACATGGCAGCCGAAAACCGTATACCCTAGCTTGCCGTGCATTCTTTCCCCAAATCAGACTTTTTTAAAACGCCGCAGGACACAGGAAAAATTGTTAAAAATAGGGACTGTCCCGCCAAAAGCAGGACGTCTGGTCACCTTACCTTTGGTGAAAGAATGAGATGGTAATTGTCACTCAGCACACCCTGCTGAGGGATACAGACTAGGGTGCTCAGGGGCACACAGCATCTGTGCCAGGTGAGTGGGTGTCTGTACGGGCAGGGGGATTAGGGAGGATTTCCGACAAGTTGCCACCTGGGCTGAGTGCTAAAGAAGTGAGGCCCAGCCTGCCCTCTAGGGAGGGGCCCAGGAGGGCTGCTGGGGAGGGAGAAGGCATGGGGCTTACAAGGCCTGGTTGTGGGCTTTAACTCTCAAACCTTAAGACCAAAGCCATGGCCAACGAGTCGTGTCTGTAGGATGGCCCTGTACAGTGGCCCTGGGTCTGTGCGTTTCGAGGCTGTAAGTCTTACGGGAGCAGAAAGCATCGCTGGCTGGTGGATTTGAATTGCTGACCTTGGGGATAGCAGTGCAATGGTGGCCCATGATGTCATCTGGTGATTCTAAACTATCAGAGGCCTGGGTGGTGGGGGTGGCGGCGAGGGGTCTTCCAAACAGACCCACCTTGGAGCCCTCATTCATTCCCTAGCCCTCCTTTTCTGAGCCCTTTGTCTAGGATGCAGTCTCACCGCTGCTTCCGCGACTCTCCCAGGACCCTCGTTGCTCCCTGAAGGTGGGAAGCCGCCCCTTCCGAAGGCACACACTTCATCCACTACGGAGGAGCAGGGAGCTGAGACTTGGAGTAGCACTGACCTTTCCAAACCCGGAGGTGTGAGAAAGTATGGAGCCAGAAGTGGCTGGGATTGGCTAGGATTTAGGATGCACGTGGAGCGTGGTGAAAATGAGCCCCAGGAGAGCACAGGTCGAGCATGCCAAGCCAGGGCGTCTAGATTCCACCCGTCTAGCGGCTGACGCCAAGGAAGGGAGGAGCATGATTGGATTTAGAATGTGGAGGGTCCCCCTGGCAGACAGCGAGTAGCAGAGATATGAGGGGTGGGTCTCAGACAGTCTGCAGCCTCGCTGGTGATGAGAACAGCTCTCCCTCTGTTTCCATGAGTAGGCAGGAGATCTAGAGGTGTCGTATGGCTGCCCGAAGTACCTTGGAATCCAGGAGGCGCCTCAGCCGGCTGTCAGGCCTCACATTTCCTCTAGCAAAGCGCTGACGCCTCAAGGCAATGCTTTGTTGGATATGAGGATGCCCACACCCAGCGTCCACACTGGTGGGTTGGATGGTCCCTTGACACAGTTGGGGGCATCCCTTTGCCCCGTTCCCCAGTGAAGAGCAAGAACCGATCCAGCTGCCTTCGTCGATTCCACTCATGGCTGTTCTGTGTGTGCCAAGAGGCCTGGGGTCCCTGGGGGTTTTCCTGGCTGGGACCTCAGCTGACCAGGACTTTCTTCTGAGGTGCCCTTGGGTGGGCTTGAATAGCCAGCTTCTCAGCTAGCAGTCCAGTGCTTAAGCATTTGTGCCACCCAGCAACTAACCACCCCCCTTCACCATCTATCAGTAAACTATCTTTCTTCACGGCCAGAACCACCTCCCAGCCCTGTCCACTCTCCAACCCTACAGGTAGGCAGGGGGCTCCAGTGGCTGGGGTGGGGCTGGGGTCCTTGGCTAAGCTCTCCTGCCTAGGTGATGCTCTTTGGAAAATCTTCTGCGGCAATTAGTACCTCTGAAGGCCAACGGGAGGATCTCTGGTCCAGCTGTGGGTGAGACATGGGGCGGTTCACCACAAGGTTGGTGGTTCAAACCCACACGCTGCTCTTCAAGAGAAAGATGAGGGTGTCTGCTCACGTGAAAGTTTGGTTTCCGGAAGCCCTAAGTAGGATTTCGATACGTTGGCAAGACCTTGATGGCAGTGGATTTAGTTTTGGTTTGGCTAAGGGCCCAATTACCAAGAAAGAAGGCAGGGCCCAAAGTGGAGTGTTGCTGGTCAACCCACCCAGCCCTGTGGCTTCCTTCTTTTGCCTGTGTGCCTGTGGATCAGGGTTTCCTCCTGTCGATGGAGAGGGGGACTAGACTCACTGGAAGTTTTGCTCCTTGTTTCAACAGTATTAAAATGTCTGTTAGAAGCCAAGCACCTTGCTGTCACCTGAGAGTGACATCCCATCTCAGGGTGAGGGGGGAGGGGACTGAAAAGGAGGGCCCAGGAAACAGAGCCTAAGTGCACCCCCCAACCTGGCACTTTAATTGGGGCAGACGCACATGCATGGTAAATTGTGGTGGGATGTGTGTG